AAAGTACGTCAGGTACACGCCGGAGCAGGTGGAGGCGCTGGAGAGGGTCTACACCGAGTGCCCTAAACCTAGCTCCATTAGGAGGCAGCAGCTCATTAGGGAGTGCCCGATTCTGTCAAATATCGAGCCCAAGCAGATTAAAGTCTGGTTTCAGAATCGGAGGTATAAATTTTTTTTTGGGAATTTTCGCAGCCCTCTTTTGGTTTATTTTCTTTGTTTTTTTATGCTTATTTGGGTTCTTTAAATGTTTTTGTTTCATTTGGGTGACTTGTGAGGTTTTAAATGTTAGTTAGAATATCTGGGGTTCTTTCTTTGTTCTTTTTTTTGTCCGCTTGTGATAATTGTGTTTTTGGCTCCTTATTAGGATTGTTTTGGGTGAACCATCTCTATCCACTTCGGTGGATAATGGAAAAAAGCAAGATTCTTTAGCATTTACGAGGTTTCCATTTCTGTTTTTTTCCCTTTAATTTGGGTTTTTTTTTTAGATTTGGGGAATTTGCGTTTTCAGTACAATGGTGGTGTTTTAGTTCTGGGTGTTTAATATCTTCAGTTCTGGGTGCTTGAACTTTTTTTTGTGGGATCTTTGTGTTGCGTACCCGCTTCAAATTTCCGATTTCTCTTTTTTTATTATTTTATCTTTTTGTTCAGTCTTATCATAATTTTTTTTAATAATTCTGAAGTCCTGCGTTCTAAGAATATATTCGATGTTTGTGATTTTTGTTTAATACTAACAGTGTTGAAATGTAGGTCAGAAATATCTTGGTTTTTTTTTTGGGTCTGATTGTGATAAAACTAGTTAATGTTTCTCTATTTACGGAAATAGTTTCTTTAGCATTTACGAGGTTCCCAAATGTTTTTGTTTCGTTTTGAGGATATCTTCAGTCCTTTTCTCTTTCCTTGTTTGTTTTTTTTAATTATCAGCCATTTATTTGGATAATTTGTTTTCTTTAACTTGCCCATCACTGAATCGATCTCTTTTACTATTTTTTTTTAAAGTAAAGATTGCGAGTGGTCTTTCGGTTACCTCCTTTTTCTTTTCCTTGCAAAAAACGCTTGAGGGGTTGTTTTTTGTAAATACATCAGCTTCCTTGTGTTCCTCGGTTCATCGCACGAGTCTTGTCTATGGGTTTTTTTATTAGCAACTCTGTTTCGTTGCAGCTGTATTTTTTTAGTTCAAGGTGTTGTATTTTCTAGTGCCACTATGGAAATAATGATTAGCGTAAGTTGTTCATTGCACATATCAAACTTCTTATTCTTGCAAGATGATAGAAAACTAGCTACGTTCTTCAATTAACAATTGTATTATTATCTTTATTAATCCAGGTGCCGTGAGAAACAGAGGAAGGAGGCTTCTCGTCTCCAAACTGTAAACAGAAAGCTGACCGCTATGAACAAGTTGCTGATGGAGGAAAATGACCGATTGCAGAAGCAAGTTTCTCATCTCGTGTATGAGAATGGCTACATGCGTCAACAAATCACCACTGTGAGCTTGAACTCGGTTCTTATAAGTTATAATATAAACTAGGCCAAATAAAAAAAAAGCTCAGGTTTGTGTGCTGAGCACATGGTACTATTATGGAACACCCCATTTCCTCTGATTTAGTGAAGATGAAAATATAGTGAAAGAGACTCGGGTTCTCCAGCGACCAAATACGTCGGGTAGCGTAGATTCAGTATTTAATTACATCTTGATTTTAATTTGATCAAATCCTTTTTACGTCTTCAGGCAACTGTCGCAACTACGGACAATAGCTGTGAGTCTGTAGTAACAAGTGGTCAGCATCACCAACAGCAAAACCCAACCCCGCAGCATCCTCAAAGAGATGCTAATAACCCAGCAGGGTAATGCATCCAAAATTACCAGTTTGTATTTCATTGTAAACTTAAAGACTATGTTTATTTGTCCATCAATTAAGCTTCTTGATATTTTCTTATTCTAGTCTACTCGCTGTTGCTGAGGAGACTCTGACAGAGTTCCTCTCCAAGGCGACCGGAACCGCTGTCGAATGGGTTCAGATGGTTGGGATGAAGGTGATTAATATAATCTCTTTGTTGGCCTGTTGAGTAGTTTTTGTATGTTTTATTCTCTTATGTTCATTTTACAGGATCCATGTCTTTATTTTTCTTTACTGTTTTGTAGCCTGGTCCGGATTCTATTGGCATTATTGCTGTCTCCCACAACTGTAGTGGTGTAGCAGCAAGAGCCTGCGGTCTTGTGAGTTTAGAACCCACAAAGGTAACCTCACCCTAACCCTAACCTTTAACTATATAATTTTCGACGAGTATGACAATGGTAGTTATTTTCAGGTCGCTGAGATCCTCAAAGATCGCCCATCTTGGTATCGTGATTGCCGTTCCCTTAATGTGCTGACTGTTATTCCTACTGGAAATGGAGGGACCGTTGAGCTTATATATATGCAGGTCTTAGGCTGTTTCTAAGTGAATATTAGTGTTATTATTGCCTACTTGTTCATTTCTAATGCTTATTCTACTCAGACATATGCACCTACAACTTTAGCATCAGCACGGGACTTTTGGACTCTTAGATACACTACTGGTCTAGAAGACGGCAGTCTTGTGGTAACCTCAATTTCTATCATGAAGGCTAGCTAATATCTAGGAATTTGACAAATCAAAAGATTAATTTTCTGTGGTTCAGTCCTTTATTCTTGATTCTCACTATCTTATTACTCTTGTTAGATCTGTGAGAGATCATTGACTCCTTCGACTGGTGGTCCAGCTGGACCTCCTTCTCCTGGTTTTGTTAGAGCTGAGATGCTGCCGAGTGGGTATTTGATTCGACCTTGCGAGGGTGGTGGTTCAATGATTCACATTGTTGACCATCTTGATTTAGATGTAAGTATCCCAAGGTATAACTCCATTAGTGGTCTAGCGCTTTATTGTTACATGGCTGATATATCTTGTGCATTGGTGTGATCTAGGCTTGGAGTGTGCCTGAGGTTCTGAGACCCTTGTATGAATCACCAAAAATATTGGCACAGAAAATGACCATAGCTGTAAGTTTTGCATTCTACTTAACAAATTTTCCTTTTTAACTTTAAATATTACAGATTTGATGGTTAATTCTGTTCTCTTTTCAGGCATTACGTCATATTAGACAGATTGCACAAGAATCAAGCGGTGAGATTGCTTATAATGGTGGAAGACAACCTGCTGTCCTGAGGACTTTTAGCCAGCGGCTTAGCAAGTAGTTTCATTGCCACTTCCTACATTACATTTGTCTAGTTCGTTTGAGTTGTCTGTGCTCTGAACATCAATCTAACTGAATGGCAGGGGTTTCAACGATGCTGTGAATGGATTCACAGATGATGGGTGGTCGTTATTAGGCAGTGATGGCGTTGAGGATGTAACGATTATGATAAACTCATCACCAGATAAGCTTCTTGGGAGCTCATCTATATTTTCTCCCATTGGTGGTGGCATCTTATGCGCAAAGGCCTCTATGCTCCTGCAGGTATTACACACTCATCTTTTGTGTTCTATAATTTCTCTATTTAGTGTCAAATCCCAGTTGTTCCGGGGATTTTTGCATTTTTTTCAGATCTACTGGTTTTTTGGTTGTAGAACGTGCCACCAGCCCTGCTTGTTCGTTTTCTGAGGGAGCACCGATCTGAATGGGCTGACTGTGGTGTTGATGCTTATTCTGCTGCATCCTTGAGAGCTAGCCCATATGCAGTTCCTGGGTTGAGGGCTAGCAGTGGTCTTTTTGGTGGTCAGGTTATATTACCTCTTGCTCATACTGTAGAACATGAAGAGGTAGTTAACTTTCTCATCACTGTATAATCTTCTCTAGACCTTACCTCCTTTGGCAATTCTATAACTCTCTGTCGTATTGCAGTTCTTGGAAGTGATTAGGCTAGAAGGTCATGGCCTCAACCAAGATGATATTCTTATGTCAAGGGACATGTTTCTATTGCAGGTTTGTTTCTAGAATCTGAAGGCTAATTTTGGTATAATTGATACTAGAACCACCAAGTCTTATTCCTTTATGCTGTGGTGTTTGTGATGGCAGTTATGCAGTGGAGTTGATGACAACTCGGTCGGTGCATGTGCACAGCTTGTATTTGCTCCTATAGATGAGTCTTTTGCTGATGATGCTCCCTTGCTGTCCTCAGGGTTCCGCGTCATACCTCTTGATCAGAAAATGGTAAGATTACCTTTATTATATATCGAGCAAGTCAACTATGAATATTGGTCTCTTCAATTTCTTTTTAGGAACCTGCTTTTGAAATTTAAATCAATTATTGAAAGTAATGACATGAAATGTATCAATGATTACATCTATCTTTTATTCCTGGCCATCTTTAAGTCCTTTCAAATCCTCCCAGGTCATAGACTTTTGGTTGACCAATGTATGTGTTATATTTGCATAGTTTGTTAAGACAAACCATACGCATTTCAAAAAAAAAAACAAGCTTATTCATACCCCTTTAATGTGATATAGGACTCACCTGCTGCTACGAAAACTCTTGACCTTGCTTCGACTCTGGAGGTGGGACGTGGCGTTTCAACTCGCTCTGCAAGCGATAGTGCTTCAAATGCGTACAACCTGAGATCGGTTCTGACGATAGCTTTCCAGTTTACCTTTGAGAATCACCTCAGAGACAATGTTGCAGCAATGGCCAGGCAATATGTGAGAAGTGTTGTAGCCTCGGTACAGAGAGTGGCAATGGCTATTGCTCCTTCGCAGTTAGGCACCCAGCTAGGAGTGAAGCATCCACCTGGATCCCCTGAAGCGCAAACTCTTGCTCGGTGGATTTCCCGCAGCTATCGGTAAGCTATAGGTATTGTGTTTTCTTAAGAGTACTGTTGTAAATTTTCTATATGTTATCGACATAAATCAGTTTACTAAGATGGATTAAGACGTGCTTCATCTTATCTCTCTTTACCCGCCAGTGTCTTTCCGCAACCAGTTAAACAGTTCAGATCATCTCCATAACAAGTTGGAATTTCATAATCATATTTTCTTGATACATTTTCATGGAAACTCTATTTCTCGTTGACATAAATTAGCTAATTTAGCTATTTTATCTGGACACTTCTGCCTTTTTCTGCAAATGAATCATCAATTTCCTTGAAAAAAAATAGGTCCCATTCTGGAGTGGAACTCTTCCATGGGGATACCCAAGCTGGTGATTCTCTGTTGAAAGTCCTCTGGCAACACTCTGATGCGATCATGTGCTGTTCTCTGAAGGCAAGTTTGAATTCAACTCCTTGTTTTTTAAGTTAAAAAGAGTAGCTTCCGTCTTCTATATGATTCGAAAGTTCAATTATACTAAGATGCGTCTGATGTGTGCTCTGCAGTCGACACCTGTGTTTACATTTGCGAATCAAGCTGGGCTGGATATGCTGGAGACAACCCTCGTCGCCCTCCAAGATATAACTCTTGAGAAGATACTGGATGATGCTGGTCGCAAGATGTTGTGCTCAGAGTTCCCAAAGATTATGCAACAGGTTAGCTTCTAAAGAACACCGATGTCAAGAATCACACTACATATTTCAAACTTAAGACATCCAAATGCTGAACTTTAGATATATTCTTTTAGGGTTTTGCCTATTTACCCGGTGGTATATGCGTATCAAGCATGGGAAGGCCGGTATCATACGAGCAAGCCGTAGCTTGGAAAGTCCTGAATGAAGAGGATACTCACCATTGTTTGGCTTTCATGTTTGTGAACTGGTCTTTTGTTTGATCAAAATCCCTTCTAGAAATGGCGGAGGGTTTGAAATTTAGACTTTTATATGGTTTTATGGAATTTTTAGTGCTAGAAGAAAATGTTGTATTATGATGAAACAAATTATGGTTTGTACTCTGTTAAGTTAAATGCTGACAGCTTATCTAAGTTTGTTTTATATGCTATCCTATCTTTGGTTTTGTAAGTCATCCGTCTCTTTCCTCTTTTACGTGCTGTGACTGTGATGCCTCATTTTGTTGTGTGCAATGTGATGCCTATGAAAATTATTCAGTCATGGTTATAAATTTTGATTGATATCTCAATTCATTCATTATCATGGAGAAATGTAACTAGAGTTCACCCGAAGCTGTGGCTAAGATCCAAATTTCAGTTCAAGTGCTAAAACTTGGCTCCTGCTGGAGGTTCAGAGGCCAGCAGAAGAATCTCATGCCTCTGATTAA